TGCAGAGTCAGTAGATAAAATACAGCAGAGCTGTTCAGTGAGTAGATCAGAGAGTTGTCTTCTTTCCCTCTGCTTTCTCCTGGCGAGCCTCAAAAATGTTTCTTCATAGGGCCACAACATTTTAGATTCAACAGTAGGGTCAGGCCTTTTTCCCAGGCACATAAGAGAGTTATGTTTCCCTGAGAACATAAGACAGACTTCAGGATTCTTCCAATACTAAAGTTCAAGTGTTTACTTTTAGGTTACATCCATACCAGATTTTTCTAAACAATGGTTTTATTTTACTTATTTAAACCAAAGTTGTGGCCTGGGGCAACTCCACTGCCTTTTGGGAACCATAATGAAACTAATGATTTATTACTATCACATCACACCTCTTTGAAAGCAGAGCCTTCTAAATCAACAGGCACATCAAAACATACATGAAGACAGTGTATAAACACATTGTGTAGATGTAAAGACAAAACTTTTTCTTATTGCCACCCACTCCCACTACATCTTTTGCTTATCATTCCCAACCCAGTAACACTGAAGTAGTCTTGGACAGCAATCTTTAGGTGCCTTTCTTACTTAATACCTCACTAATTCAGAAAATATATAATTTAACTGCAAATTCACCCCAATAAAGGTTGAAAAAACAACACAAAGAATTTTGCCAAGATATACAGATACACAGCATAGGTTAAATTCTCTTTGGTATCTAAAAAAACTTTATTCACTATATATGAGTTGTGGGTTTAAATTTTCCCAACTCTAGTTAGAAATACAATTAGCTAAGATATGTATTTGATTCTAGAAAATCCTTAACTTCATCTGAACCAATAAACTGCTGTAAAACTAAATGTAGTTTTAAGATATGTTAGGGTTCTATCAAAGCTGTAACTATTTCCTAACTTCCATTAATTTCAAAACTCCTGATTGACAATATATTGAAAATGTTTGGCTTCTGGGAGAATAAAATATATGGGAGGCATGATGTAAATTATTGAGTGCATATCTCAGAAATAGTTCTTTTGAGCATCTAGACTCAAAGACTCTTATTCTAGAAATTAATTGTACATTGCCTCCACAAACACAGGATTAAAACAGTGGGCTGAAAATGAATTACTCTGTTCCTGCTACCTTCCAACACCTCTCATGGTTAATAATCTCTCCTAAATGTTAACAGCGCTTCAAAGGCCACCGTCCCTTACTCAAAGATGCTGTATTAGGGGAAAAGATAATCCTGTTGTAAGCAGGAGAGTTGCAAAAACACTAAATTATCTTCAGTGTTTATCCAATAGGGAACGGTACACATATTCCAGTCTGCAAACACAAGAATTGGCTTACTGTCTGCCTAGAGCCAAACACAGAACAGACTTCATAAATAGGTTACAAAGAAACAAAATGAGACCTTTAAAGTAAGATACTGTAATGGACAAGCTGAAATGCTATGTCACATATATTTTGTCACATAAATGTACTTTGCCAGTTTGTGATAAGGTGAACTGAAGTGCCTAACAATATATATATAACCCAAATTTTTTTTTAATATACAAAAGCTTTTGGTCTTGTAGAAAAACAAAATTTGAAATGTGCTGAACTGAAATGTATAACAAAGTTTTGTCAAAACCCAAAACCACTGTTTGTAGACAGGAAAGGGCATGTGCCTACAAAACAGCTGTTTTCAATTTTTGCAAAAAAGAATGATTTTTCATGTCCAGCACAAAACCATGGATACTCAGGTTTTTTTCCCCAAGGGGTGAATTTTCCTAAAATTTCACTGTGATACGCTACCACACATGTATTAAGAGAAGTGAAGACACCTTTCTCCATGTAAAATTAATAAATAATCACAAGAAGAATATACAATATGACTCCTGATGGAAAATTAAAATAGTAGCTGTCTTAAAAATTAATAAGTTAGGCTCACTGTATACCAAATGGATTTTTTTTTTGGTAAGAAAAACACAGACCCTGAGTTTTGCTGTTAACAATCCACCATGCTTCATTTCACTCCTCTCCCTTATAACACATTGTGATACCTACCACACAGCGTTCCTATTAACTGAATCAAAACCACTAAAGCAGGACTGGAACTTGGAGATTTAATATTCTCAGTTAAACATGGCCTCTGCCAGAAATACAACACATTAGCAAAGTGATTACTAGAAGTTTACATTCTGATTTCCCCGGATAAACAAAATTATTCAATCCCCAAGACTGCAAACATTTAAAACGATTCCCCTACTGAAAGTCAATGTTTACACTTCCTAAAATGCTAGAGCATATTAGCTTCCTGCATGCAATTTTCTCACCGTGAGATCTAGATAGCATATAAGAATATCACCAATTTTTTAATACTGCTTGTAAAAGAGGAATCTCATACTGCTAGAAGATTTAGCAGTACTGCTTAAATTATGTATTTTTCTTTTCTTTGACTGACGGACTCACATTCATTAGCTCTTTCTTCCTGCTTTTGTACCCCCATTATTCCCATTTATCTGTGAAATATCTCAATAGATAAGCGCTTTTTCAAGTGGCTGAAGCACTTACCTGCTGGATACCGTATGTCCAGCCTTGCCTTATACGGTCCCTTGCCCACACATTGTGAGCATTCTCTGCCAGTTTATCCACCATAGCTTCTTGAGAGGGAGTCAGTTTGATAAAACTCAGATCCATGGGAGCAGGCTTATATCCACTCAACAACTGGTAGCTGTCAAAAACCACAGAACTCGCAGTTACTTTTCAGTAAGAAAAAATTAATAGAAACAGCAAAGGAAAGAAGTGACACGTACGAAATATATCTACGTAAGTAATCCGTCTTTCAACATAAAGAATAATTAACTGACATTTAATTCTGTTTCAAGCTAATTGCACCTTGATGGGATGAAGTAGCTGGTAATGAAAGCTACCCAAAATGGTCTGAACTAAAAATGTTTAAGTATTTTAGTACTTTCATATATTTAAAGTAGCAGATTAATAAATCTACTTATATAAAACACTTATATGAACACTATTATTGTTACTTCTGAGCACTTTACAACACTTCTTAAATTCTATCTACCTCCTACTGAAGCAAGGAAATATATTCTTCCTATTACATGTAGGGATGTGAGAGGCAGAGGGGGTCAAATAGCTTACTCAAGATCACATATGAAATCCATCTAATGAAAGTTTGTCTTTATAATACTTCATACCTTAACTATCATTCAAATCACAGGAACAAACTGTTAGAATTTAAGCATGCCTTCAGAACAAAGAGACAGCTTCCTCCCTATTTTTAGTGCTCCTAAGAACAGTGTTGTTCGGTTTTACAAAGTTGTTCCCATCAAATTAATTAGAGTCATCTCCCGCTGTACTTATGACCAAAACTTCTTCAATAAAGGACTTAATTCATATGGTGATGGATGCAGCACATCAGTACTTCCTAATTTTACAATGAAAACGTACAACACTATGCGGCACCACCATGGTGGTGGACGTTGCCTCCCTTGCCCCAGCTGATGCAGGAACGTGCAGGAGAAGGGGAGCAGAAAGAGCAAAACAGGGGTAGACAGACAGGGGCTGCCCATGTGCTAGTGGGGGTGTCTGCAAGGCAGCCTCTGTGAGGAGAGGTCATGGTCACCCTGTGCCAGACACAACAAGTTCCAGTGGGCTCCAAAAGGGACCCGCCACTGACCAAAGCTGAGCCCCTGCAAAGAGCTATAAGTTGTTACTGGTGGTATTAGCACTTACCATTGCTCCTAGTCACAACCAAGGAATCTAAATTACTAATTTAGGTTTAAGAATAATGGAACATACAGAAATCCTCTCATACCAAAATGTGACCTTTATCTTTCTGGTTTTATACACATTATAACCCTCCTCCATCATGATGAATTTTCATACCATTCTAGACAAATTTATAACCGATGGGCTCAAATGTAGGTTGGGCCGTAGAGCTGTCATATGCCCATCACCAAGTACAGTTCCATTTCTTTCAACCGTGTGCAAGTTCTAAATTCTTCATTCCAAATTCTTCATTCCTACACCGGAGAGCACACAGGTGCTAAGAAGAAGCCAGGGCACCTTGGCTGGGCCATGAGAGCTGGTTTCAGAGCTGCAGTAGTGGAAGCCACTATATCATACCAGGCTGAGCCCAGTCCTACTAATGCTGTTAACAACCAGTAACTCAGGAAAAAGTCAGGCAGCTATACCAGTTCTCTTCAAATCAAGTCCCTAGATGACAATTCTAGGACTTTCAAAAGAGTTACCTTTAAATATCTGCAGCACAGCAAAATATATCAACAAGTTTGCTGTAAAAATTCTTTACCAAGTTTCTGATGTAGACTCCATATATAAAAGAACTATGTAACAATGAATGCCAGACACGCCAATGAATCATGGAAAATCTAAACTTTGTCTACACATCAGATCATAAACATCTAAAAGACAAGTGTGGATGACTGCGTGTGTAAATTTCTGAAAACTCATATGCATACCTGCACACCCAAGTACCAATAAAACTAGCAATATATATCAAATTGTTAAAATACAGTTTGCTTAACTGACACTGCCTAACAAAAAGATGTATTTGAATTTCAACTTACTTCTTTGGAAGTTTCATTTTTTTCACTTTTTCTTCAGCATGTTCATCAGCAATTCCAACATGGCAGCCTAATGCCAGCAGGGTTCTAGGACACAGAAATCAGAAAAATTAATTGCAATGTTTCTATATTCAGAGTTGCTTCTGGGTATATAAATGGCACTATACAACAAATGAGACCTACGGGAATGACATCAATATAATATGGAAAGATCAACACCAGCCTTTTTATATACAAGATTTTTGACAGTGGCAAATGCCACAAGATGATCCTAAAACTATCAGTAAAAACATGAGTAGGCTACTTCAAAATGGAACTATCATACAGCCCATTTCATCTACATGAGGCATCGGTTGAAAGATTCCCTGCCCTTGAAATACTTATTTCTGCTTTATATACTTATTCGTGCTGTTTATATACTCCTTCATACTGCTTCATATAAAAATCTTTTTATGTTATGTTATTTACTTCAAAGCTGCTGAAAGGAGAAAAGGCAGGAAATGTCACTTCTTAGATGTGTCATCTTTACAAAGGGAGGCTGATTCAGAGATTCTAATTGGATCCGGATTTTGTTAGGACATGCTACTGAAGAGAGGGCTGACAGCAGAATGCATGATAAGCACTAGGCCCAAATTGCTATCTTAATGCTCAGTATGGATACTGCACATTAATCCACTTCAGAGAAAAAGACTGAAGCTAGATACAGTGTGTCATGTACAAGACGACTCCTACCACAGAGACACTTACCCAGGTAGCACATATTCTGGCCTGATTCTGCAACATGCAGCTCATTTCAGAAGAAAAACATGCTCTACATAACCTTACAATAGAGTTGACAGTATTAATCAGGTTTCTGATTACTTCAGACCTGTTCCTGTCCTTACAGTCACACTATCCAGCAGCATAAATCTTAAGTCTCGTTCATCTCCAGGATTTATTGACACATCAATTAATTGTTCCAGCACTTACATTCAATACTGGGTTATCAACTCTTCATTTCTTTAGCCTAGATGCATTACTAAAATATTTACATTGAAATTAAAACAAATCCTGGACAAAAATCAGATGCTACTTTGGAGTCAGAAGTTCCGCACAATCTGAGGGTTACACCCATATCTTTGACTGATTATGCAGAAGAAATTACAAGTGTAAACCTTGGACTCCATTCCAAATTTTCCCAATGTGGAAGAAAGATGGTAAACAAGGTTTTTCTTTTTCTTGTCTCTAGTTAAAACAGTATTTTCTAGTCTTGCTTTAACTATATTTATTGCTCTTGAACTGACTGGTAAAAAAGAACATAAATATTGCTCTGGCAGTATTTCTCTTAGCAGATGAATCATATGTTCCAAGGAGATTCTTAGAGCATATTTTTAGTGCTATCTACATGAAGTAAATCCTACCGTTATGGTCTGTGAACTCTGATTTAAAAGTAGACAGTAAAATCAGACACAAGGAAATACAAGTGGTCACCTCCTGCAAAACACAGTATCTGCTAAGAATAAGCCATGCAGCTGAATTTCAGTTGGCATAAATCCTACCTGATTCCCATGCAGCTATCACCAGCATGAGTAAGAGAACATGTCTAACAGTGGAAAGCAATACAGAGGAGCTCAGCCCTGGTAACCCTGATTTTCTTGTAATATAAGACAGGAATTTGAACCCTACATTATCTCCACCCAGACACAGCAAATTCAAATCAGAGAGCCACAGCAAGATAAAAAGTCACACCATACTGGTGGAGCCTGAAAGACCCCTAAAGCACTTCAAAGCTAAAATAGAAATACAGAAATAGCTGAATGCAGCCCTCGGCATAACATCAATACGTGTAATTATCACACACAACTGACTAAACAGGTAGAAACACAAAAGTCAGCCACAAAATAGTAAGCATAAAAAACCTCAAGATCAGACGACAAAAAATATATGTAAGAATGTGCAGAAACAGCATGAGCAAGCATATTTTAACCCCATGACATTTTCAGAGGTAACTCATTCCTGAATCTTGACATTTCATATAGAATATGATTTTTATAGTTCACAAAAGTCTTCAATCATACTGAAAAATATACAGAGATTCCAATATATTGAAAAGAAATGTGTGTCAGGTGATATGACTCAGAACTTCCTAGTTTTCTCCCTCATCTAGTAGAGCTGGCAGCAAAACCAGCAACAAACCACCAACAAAATTAAATTACAGTAAGGGTTATTCTTGATGTCTTGCAACTACTTCAAGTATGCAGTTTGATGCAAATTGCAAAGAATATAGCATGTTCTGAAGCACTGGAACAGGTTGCCCAGAGAAGCTGTGGATGCCCCATCCCTGGAAGTGTTCAAGGCCAGGCTGGATGAGGCTTTGAGCAACCTGGTCTAGCGGAAGGTGTCCCTGCCCATGGCAGGGGGGTTGGAACTAGATGGTCTTTAAGGTCCCTTCCATCCCTAACCATTCCATGATTCTATGATATAGCTGACCAGAGACAAGTTTAAAAGAACGCTTTTTTCCCCCTCTTCCCCCTTTCCCCCCATTTGGCCTGAATACTAGTACACTAGAAACATCTAGTAAAGAACCAGTCAAAGTAGCTTACAATTCAAGTCATCACAGTATGGATCAACTAGGACAGATTAGTGCACCCATTTTTCCAACTTTGAAAGCTTGCAGAAATGAAGCAGGAAATTTGAATTCTCGCCCCTTAACGATAGATATCTACGTGATAAATACAACATTAAACTGCAAAATAAGAACAGTATACCTCAGAAAACAAGGATTAACACAAGAACGAAATTAAGATTGAGCCCATTAAACATACAAATATTGAAATCCATAGAAAGACTGAACGCATTGTTTTGGACACTATCCAATTAATGAGAAGTCTCTCTTTAAAAGCATAAGTAATATAACTACTAGAATAAAAGTAATCCATAATTTATGAGTTTACAAAACAAAATTATTTTTGCTTTGTTAGGGTTAGATTTAGAAAAGCACTGCATCCTGAACCAGTAATCTTATAAGGACTACTAAAATTTGTTTCATATCTAGTGAAACATTAGGAGTGTGCATTTAATTTTGAGAGTATGATTTTTATGATGCCTGATTCATATTATATAGATTATTCTAGCAAAAAATCCAGCTGCAGGGAAAACCTTTAGTTGTTTCATAAAATGGAAAGGAAGAAGCTATTCTGGATACTTAACACGTCGTTTGTCAGGGCTCTCAAAAGCTTTCCTTGAAATTCTAATACCTAGCTGAAGACAAATATGAACTTATTTTCTTACCTCCAGTGGTGTTCCATTTATCTCTGAATGCTTTTTCTCTAAATAATACCAAAATATCCCTACAGAAATTGTTTTACACACAGGTTCTTAAATATATTTTTTATCAAGTAATTTACTTCATGTGGGAATGGTGGACCAGTAAATAGCACAGAGAAGCTGACAAGAGAAGGACACTACAAGAAATTCTAGGAGGATTGTTCTAACTAGCTTTCTACTATGAGGACACAGTTCTTATGAGTGAAAACACTATATTGCACATCAGTTTTCATGGCAATTTTTTTAATAATATATTACAATTATTCCCAGAAAAGTACTGTCACAGGCAGATAGCCATCCCTTGGTAAGACTATGAATAGGGAAAAGCAACTATATTTTAAAAAGAAAAGAAAAAAAAAAAATCAGTGGATTGCAAACAGCAGTGACTGGAAAACCACATATACCACTGAGCATATATCAGTTTGAGAAGTATTTTAACATGTTGGCTACATGTAATGTTATATATGGAGGGAATTACTTAAACTAATAGATTTTCAATGCATTCATAGCAAAGTAAAAACTCACACTTGCTTGATGGACAAAGTTGAGAAGAGGAATCACCAGGTAACTGGATTACTTGAACAGAGTCATTAACATCTCACTGAAACTTTCTGCATTCCAACTGGAAAGCTTCCATCACATTCACACACCTAATCACTCATCCACAAAAGGAGGGATTGCCTACTACTGCTTTGTGGCAATATGCAGAGATGACACAGAAATAGCAGCAAGCGATCCTGAAGCAAAGCTCATCATTAGTCACGTCCAAAAAACACCCACTGATTGCCAAAGTGCGCTTTATCAATAAAAAAATTAAAAGTAATTAAACTAAATTGAATAAAACCGAATGAGAAGTGAAGATTTTTTTTCCAAAACTTGTATCTATTTCTTCCCTCCAAACTAAATGAAAGCTGTCTGAGTTGCCATTTCATAATAAGCGTTATCACATAGTTCTAAAATTCCACAGATATTTCAAAAAACCCTATATAAGCAATTTTCAATGCCAAATAGATCATGTATTCATGTATCCCATTCCATCATTTTCATATTATTACCCTCACCTACACGTCAAATCATAATTCACATGACAAATTATAATTCTGGAAACTGCAACTCACTAGGAAACTCTCACTATAATCTTCAAAAGTTCTACCAACTTACTTCAGTGTTTCAAGTGACATTTGCAGGTTATAATTTCTTTCCTGTTCTGGCAATTTTGAGAACTCCACTAAGCATGGGTGTTGTCTTTTGTTGTCATCTCTAACCTGAAAAGATAGTGGAGAAATAAGTTTAATGTGTCTTTAAAAAAACAGAAGAAATTTTAAAACCACCCAAAACACAAAGTATTTAAAGCTGATCCTGTCAGAATTACTCAACAACACTTCAAAACAGGAAGTATTCTGTATTCTCAGAGCATTCTGTTAAACAAAGGCAGAGTTTTCATTTGCAAATAAACTTAAGATTTGCAGATCTCAAGTGGAATAAATGCTAATTTGTACATTTCATTACACAGGCGTTCACAACAAATACGCAAAGTTCAAGAACAGTGCAATCTGTGTTATGTTTCACCATACAGCCATAAAATAACTCTTCATCAGCACCATGCTTCAAAAAAATATAGATCTAGTGGTATAAATATGTTGATATGAATAATACTGAAGTCCTTACTTGAAGAAAGTAATGATATAAAGGATACACCTATCAATTCAGAAAAATGTTTGTTATGTCCAGTAGTGTACAAGCAGACTGCCACTGTTCAGCAGTCACAAATGATTCAAACATTAATTTACTTTTACTTTAGTGACAGCAGAACCATGAGGACTATAATTTACAAAATCCTACATTTTATACACTTAAAAATTTCGTCAAAAACATTTTTAACCTGCACTACTTCTATACAGTTTTAGCCTAATAATGGCCGTAACTAGGGAGGACAACCTGAGAGGCTGGGAGAACTGAGCAGTCTACTCCTCTCAGCTTTCCATCTTTATCATGCTAGAGCTCAGTCAGCACAATCTACAATGATTATGTCTTGGCTAGAAGGGTTGATAAAAAAGATTTGTTCGTAAACATCACCTACAAGATCCCAATGGAAGTATTAACTTTTGCTCAGTTGAGACTACATTGTCATCCATATATGACAAGAATTTTGTGTCTATCTTACATGAATCATAAGATCACTAATTATATTAATCTTGAAAGCTGCAAGGTGAAAGTTAATGAAAAATAACGTTATTGACAACTTCTGATCAATCAGAATAAATAGAAAATGGAGTTTTAACAGTTGAAGTTAAGAAGCCTAACTGTTATACATTTTCCAAATTGATCTTTACTTATCTGGTGAATATAGGACGGCTTTTAAATTATTTTAGCATAAAAAAAGACAGAGGCAGGAATTCTCAGTGAAGTACCACTGAACAGGGTATAAGCTGTTCTCAACAGCTTGTCTTGTTGTTTACTTACAGAATCAGATTTGATGTTTTAAAAGGACAAGAAAGCCAGTGGCATATGAACAGGCATGAAATTTGTGGCTTTCAGGAAAAAAAAAAATCTAATACACTTAAACTGATTGCTGGCCCTACATACTGCATCAAGTAAAAGAGCTTCTCTTTGGATATTTTAATGTAAATGTCTTAAAATGAAAAAGCTCTATCATCATTGCAATAAATCCACATATAACATCTAACATTACACTTAAGTAAAATCATAATATTGGGACATAAACATAGTGTGTTAGAGCAGGGGATGAAAAAAGTTATCTGTAGACTGTAACCTTTTTATAAAGTGTCACTAATTCCAAGCCCTGAGTGTTAATATACATGAGAACCCACAGAGTGAATATGAACATGGATCACTGGTAGCTGAAATTTATTTTTTATTTACCATCATCTGATTTTGCCAGCTCTGTGTTTTTCTATAATGTTAAATGTAGACTACTACTCAATCTATCTTATTTAATCTCATGAAAAAAATCCTCACATTTCACTACAATATTTCTGAGTAACATATTTTTGCGTTTGGATCTAAGCACATCATAATTATCAAATTGAGCAGTAGTCATTTGTTTATGTTTTGGATTGAAAAATATTTACAATCTCCATGGGATATTTATCTTCATCTGATGGGATAATATTCTTTGGACAGCCAATACAAGCAGTTCGATTAAAATCATTAGCAGCTAAAATGAGAAACATCTTTTAGCAGACACTGAAAATGTTTATTTGCAGATTTCTAAGACTTTTGGCAATCTGCATTAATAAAGATTCAGTATAGTCTCCATTAAGAAGGACTGCTCTAGATCTATGTAGAGCTAACTTAAATCTTAAACATCTGGTGTTTTTTTCTTAAAATTCCAATGGTAATTGAATTTCCCCTCGTGACACTCTTTTTACTCTACAACTACAATGTATAACACTTTTATATATATTTTCAACATAATTAGTAGATTGCCTCTCTGTCCCCCTGTTTTCTCTGAGCACAATATAAAAATCTACTGTCTTGCAAACAAACTATGTAAGTGGCAGAACTCGTGACACCTATCAAATCTTTATTTTTGTGGCTGGTTTTAAATATACAGCAAAGTTCAAGGAATAAAGATATGCAGATGTGTCTGATGATTACAAGTGGACACCTAAATACCACTCAGATTCAGACTTATAATGAAGCCACTTTATTTCGCTGCATTAACTAGTTATTTTGCTTTGTTACATATATAAAATGCAGTAGTAATAACTGGTGAGCTACACACAGATCTGATTAAACAGTCTGTAGGAGGAAATATAAAAGGCAATATACAGCAGATTTCTTTAATAATCTGGAGAGACATTTAAATCTACAGGTTGTTTGTCTTTTAGCCTTTAAACTCATTGACTTGGCGAAAAAACACCACCTGCTACTACCTATAATGCACCCTGCTCTGAATTAAAAAGACCAAATCTAACTACGATTGAAATATTATTGCGTCCAACCTGATAATTTCTATTTCATGCCTTCCCTCAGTACTCAGTAACTGCACTGTATCAATTCAGGTAACTAGAATTGCCAACAGTGCCTTAAACTGATGAAATCATCTGTGAGAAACCAGCATGACAAAGGAGTCAATCTTCAGATGATCAGCATATACTTTGCCACATTACCAAAGTGAGTAAATCCAACCACAGAACACTACAGCTAGAGAGAGAAAGCTGAATAACTTACAAGATTTAGCACCTGGTTTCATTTTGAACATAACTACAACACTGTAAACTGCTGTTTAACCTGGTGCTTACTATATATTGTTTAAATTAAAATGGAGTTCCACTGTACAATTAGATTCTTGATGGTAAGTAATGGCACATTAAAAGTTCCTGCAGATTGCTTTACAGCTGGTATGATTATACCACAATTAAAATGTTTTGACACATTCATTTAACTGAGGTTTTGTGTTTGATTTGGTGGGGAAAGCAAGAACAACAACAATCTGGAAATCTTCTCTGTTAATCAAATCTTTTGAAGTACTGCTGTATGCTACACATATAACACCTATGCCCAGTTAAATTAAAGCTGTATTCTGAACTCCTCGGAAGACCAAAATCTTTCAGTAACAAAAATAGGATATATACATGTTTCTATACGTGTATACGTGTTTTTACATTTACATTTAGTGTCTACTGTATGTTTCTATATACTCTTCACAGCAATAGTTCTTTATAAACAACACCATTTGGGATCTAAGTAACTAGCTTGCATACTTTTTAATGACTGATTTTAAAAAAAAAAATTAGACTGCATTTTGTATAAAAGCCAGAAGCCACCTTTTTTTTTTCCTGTCATACTCCATGAAAAGTAAGAAAGAGATAAGAAAATAGCTATGTGGAGCACCTAATACAGTCATGAGGCTGAAAAGTAGAAAGAAGGAAGAAGAAAAGAAGATTTAATGGAGTTTCCCAAATGCAGCACTTATTTTTCATGAAAAGTGAGCTTTGGGACTTCTGAAAGTTATGTCAGTCAGTAGATGGGAAGACAACCAAGAATAACTTGCCATTGGCTTCCTCCAGCAGGCAACTAAACTTCTTGCCCTAAGAATATACAGAAGATGAAAACTCCACTATGTTCTTTCTGTGCTAGGAATTAGACTGGCTGAAAGTTTCAGCACCATACAGCTTTAAAACTAGAAGTTTGGTTCAGAAATACACAAGCCCTGTGGGTTTCCACCTGCTTCTGGAGTGTAAAGCCTTGCAAATCTTGGAAGTTTACAAAAACTGCAGTGCCATTAGCACACTGAAACCACTGTGCTGGATAATACTACTTAGTTAACAAAAAGTAAGTTGGAAGGTACATACTGGTCCATACTGCCAGCCAAGTTCAATCTTATTCATAACCCAAAGTTCATGGATGTTCTCTGCTAACTTTTCTCTAATTCTTTCCAGGTGAGGAGGCAAAACAATCTAAAGAGAGAAGAGAGAAAGAGGCTATTAAAAATAAGTTGCTTGACAGTGCCACCCAAATTTTGTAACAGACAAAACCTTGTACAAATCAGATCTCTCAACTATACCTAAATTATCATTCAGTTCTCACTGACTAAAGTGAGTGAGAATTATTAAATCAAAAGAAATACTTTAACCTATGAATTTAGAAGTCCCAGAGTTTGACCAGCAAGGAAAAATGGTTTTAAATCCCACACCTCCAAATGGCAAGGATTACATTCCTGGTAGCTGGCTAGAAACTACTCAAAACAGCACTATTTCTCAGTTTAAAACATTCTAAAATTGTCAACAACCAAGGTAATGTTGTGAAAACACTTCAGACAAATACACATATTTGAGAAGTGAACACCATTTTAAGAAAAATTATAATGATTTCAGATGACAAGTGAAATCAGCACATCACTCTACCTCTAAAACTTTAAATAGACAGTAACCTCAAATATCCAGTGCTGTGATTCATTATAAAGTTACCCTAATTGTTAGTGTTACAGAGCAACAATTACATGACACATACAGAATGCTGTATTTAGCGCATAAGGCAACAAACCTACCAGTTTGTTCTTTTTTATGTGCTTTTTTTTCAGGAATGAGTTCTTAAATATGGTAAAATCTGAGCACATAATGTGAAAAAATGTGTATCATGTCAAAATCTGGTTACGTTTGAAGTGAACTGTTGTTATTTGTGATCAGAGGAGGAGCTTTTTGATATTTCTTAATATCAAAGAAATACTGCTCTTTGCACCTACATTAAAAAAAAAATCAAAATTACTTCAGTTCTTGCCGTTTATTGCCTGCAGTGGGTCAAATGACACTCAGTAACCTGAAATTCCAGTAAAGACTTAGAGCTGAAGCTGGTCTGTAAGTCTTATCATAATACAAAGTCCTCAGTAATTGTAATTAAACAGTAAAAATGTCTAGTAACAGAACAAGAAGTTTAAACATGATTTTTTTTCTCTACTTTAATATTAAGGGTAGAACATTCTTTACTGTAGTTTGTGAACTAAAATACATGAAATTTCTACTGAGCACTAAAAAGACTTCACGCACCACTTACCAGTGTCTCACAATGGAACATACCAACCAAATCCCAAGAAAAAACAAGTTTGAGTCAAGCAGCAAATTCAGTCAAATGTGAAAAAACATTGGGCTCTGATATATGTGTTTAAAAATGAAAATGCAATCCCTCAGTTTCCATACCTGGCTAGTATCTACAGGAACTGGAGTGAAAGCTGCCTGTGACAGAGAGATAGTGGGACCCAGTAGGTCTCTCGTATAGCTACGATCCTGCTTGTACTCCCGACTGTGCTCCACTTTCAGCTTCTCTTTTGGTAGGACAGCTTCAAAGCAAGGGGCATATCCAGGTGGAGGAAGGAACTTAAATTCTCCATGGCGACCTCCAAGCAAGAAACGTACCCTGTAAACGTCAGAGTTACTTCAGATAACTGAGACATCTTTGGTATCAAACCTAACCAGTTTCTAAGCCTAATAACAATTGAATGTTATTTCTTTTTTAAAAGGGAAAAAAATTTAAAAATCAATGTTGCAGTTTCTTTGCATTTATACAGTTCAACTTTCTCTAATTAGTACTAGAATTGATGAAGTAGGAGGTGAAAAAAAACATGAGGAAAAGCAAACCATTCTTTCTTTTAGATAATTTCTACTTCCATAAAAGTATTCTAAACCATGAGACCAAAGAGAAGACACAGGGAGAGAGGGAGAGAATAATCAGTTTACCTAGCACACCTATGAAGTAAGCAGCAGCCTTTTGAGTCTCAGAAGGCAGAGTTTATAACCCAGAGTAATCAATCAGCCACCTCTGAACTCCAGCCATTGAGGAGTGCTCCATTTTCTCTCATTTGAGAAACGAACCTGAAAAGTCCGTGGAATACTCGCACAGAACACTGAACACTTAGGATGCAATACAAAAACTTCTGTATTTTATTCCCTAAAACTTACACCTGTCATGTTAGTAGAAACCTAGGGGAAAGCATTCTTTTATCATCACAAAATGGTCATTTTGTCATGGCTTGTGCTTACTGAAAAATTCAGTGAATGAGGTGAACATGAAGTAGCAATGACATCATCCTGAAAAATCTTCCCAGAAGATTGTCATCCAAAAGGAATCAAAAACCACCCAAAAAAACAGCCTTACAAGAGAATAATTTTGTTTCTTTTCTATTCACTGATGTGCTGGATTCAGTCAGGAA